CAGCCGCGTCCTCGGCTGCCAGCCCCTTTCCGCGCGCGAGCCCCGTACCTCTGCGCTTCTCTCCTGCAGCTTCTCTGGGTCTCAGTGTGCCTCTCCTTCCTTCTAGTTGTAGAATTTACAGTCAGCCAGGCTTCCTGTTGTTCTGGATGAAGTCCGTATTGTTTCTCTGAGGTATTAATCAATTGTTGTGAGCGGCATTAATTTCCCGGTGTTTATCTCTGCCGCCATCTTAGTTTTTCCCTTGATCAATCTCGTTTTTAGTCTTAATCTCAAAGGGATGCAGGCTCCTTTGCAGATTAGCAGCGCTTTTCCTCTGCATAGCTCCCTTCCTTCTGGAACTCCACCCTGGAATTTCCAGCTCCCTTGGCCTCCCTATTCTCTGATTTCTGCCTCCAAGTCAGAGAGGCTCTGTTTGGGTCCCCCCTTCTTGTACCTGCAGCTCAAAAATTATCTACATGCTTTGCGCCCTGCCAGCATGGCTCAGTGATTGAGCATTGACCTATGAACCAGGAGGTCACGGTTGGATCCCCAGTCAAGGGCACATGCCTGGGTTGCAGCCCTGATCCCCAGTGTGGGGCATGCAGGAGGCAGCCACTCAATGATTCCCTCTCATCATTGATGTTTCTATCTCACTCCCTCTCCCTTCCTCTCTGAAATCAATAAAGATTTTTTTTTTAAATTATCTACAAGCAGAAATCTAGGGTGATCATAGGGCTTATCTCATACGCTTCCTTTATTTCAGGGATTAAAGGAATGTGCTTTCAATGTTGAAAACAGTTGTTCCATATATTTTGTCTGTATATTTCCTACATTTTTTGTGGTAGGAGGGAATGTTCAATACCAGTTTCCCTGTTCTAGCCAACAGACGTTTCTCCCCCCTGCATTTTTAATGACTACGTCTGATTTCAATAAGTTATGTTTCTTAAAAAAATCTGCTATTTCTAGGCATTAACATGGCTGAAGGTTTTTAAAAAGTCGTGTTAGAGAGCACTGCTGCAACAGGTTTCCGACATACGTGCTCTGTTCTGGAGACTGCCACTTCCGGAAAGATGGAAGAGATGGTCTTTCCCTGTTCTTCCTGCTAAAACGAAGTGCAGCTGACACTCCTGGACACAGAATGTAAAACAAACGTGAAAGGTAGAGAGAAGGCAGACCGGCCAGGGACCGCAAGACTCAGGAGTGACATGGCGTTGAGTTACTTGGGGTTTCTTCTCGCCTCATCTAAGACTGGGTGCTGCGGAGAATGGTAATGAGAGCAGCAATGGGCGCAGACCCACCCAAAAAGCCTAAAGCCTCTGACTAGTCAAAGAGCCAGGAAAGGGGCAGCTTAGCAAGACAGCAAACTTTTATTTCATTTTCTTTTTCTTTTTTTAAAAGTATATTTTTATTGATTTCAGAGAGGAAGGGAGAGGGAGAGAGAGATAGAAACATCCGTGATGAGAGAATCATTGATCAGGCTGCCTCTGCAAGGCCCCACACTGGGGATCAAGCCCGCAACCGGGCCTGTACCCTTGGCTGGAATCGAACCTGGGACCCTTCAGTCACAGGCTGATGCTCTAGCCACTGAGCCAAACTGGCCAGGGCAAGATAGCAAACTTTTAGATGGTAACTGCTCTTCCCCTGCCAAATACTACAGAAAAACTGCAGCCCCAGCCCCAGCCTGCCGGGCTGTAAGGAGCCTCCCTAGCCTCCCTGCCAAGGGGAAGTCAGTACCTTCCAACCCTACAGAGTCAGTGGAGACAAGGTGGGACCCTGGACTGCTCCCCAACTCCGCCCCCTTGTGATAATGAACCACCTATCTTTTCCCAGCATTGGTGGTGTCAGACGGCCTAGTAGAGGGGTGGGCAACCCCTGGCACGCCTGCCAAACATGGCACGCCAGTAGCTTTTGCTGGCACGCGAAACCCTCTCTTATAATCTTCCATTTACAATTTTTTCTTAATATCGACTTTTTTTTATTTTTCAGATAAATTCAGTGTAGGTGCATCTTAGATAAATAATTTTACATAACAAGTTATCTTAAAGACCATAGACATGGATTGACGATAATCCACATACGCTTGTGAATCTTTGTTCTCAGTGATGAATTTTGTTAAGTCTTGTAATAGGAGTAGCCTGATGGATCTAAGTAGTAGCTCATGCATCTCTCTGAAGGTCACGAAGTATAAATCTGATGTAAAATCTCTGTCATCAGTGATGCAGCAGCAAAAGTCCCACTGATAATATCAAACGGAGTCATAAAGTTTTCTGTCGGACTATCAGTGTACATGTATACATTAAAAAATAAATGTATTTTTCATCATCATAGTAATAAAAGCTAACATTCATTGAGGACCTACTATGTGCCATGTGTATAGGTTCTAAGACAACACTGTACAGTAGAACTTTTGAGGTGATAGATATGTTCTGTTATTGGGCTGTCTAGCATGGTAGCTACAGGCCACGGTGGCTCTTGAGCATTTAAATGTGCTAGTGCAACTGTGGGAGAGAATTTTTGATTTTTACATAAATGTAAATTTACATAGCCACATGTGACTAGTGGCTACTGAATTGGACAGTACACTTATAGGAACTTACATATCCTCTTTCATTTCTGTGTGTAAGAATATTCCGATATGAACACCATCACACGGATGAAATAGGTTAAGGGATTTGTTGGTCTAAGGCAGCGGTTCTCAACCTGTGGGTCGTGACCCCTTTGGGGGTCGAACGACCCTTTCACAGGGGTCGCCTAAGGCCATCAGAAAACACATATATAATTACATATTGTTTTTGTGATTAATCACTATGCTTTAATTATGTGGCATTAGGAAGGTTGAGAAACACTGGTCTTAGGTCTTGCAGCTTGTGAGGGGCACAGCTTTGGGATTTAAATCGAGGGATTCTGGCGTGAGCACGGTCAGGCACTTTGGGTGCTGTCATACATAGTGTCACAGGTAGGTGGCATGTGCCTTGAGAGCACAGAGGACCAATTTCATTGCTCCTCAGGAAGGGTGACCTGTTGGTTTGTTAAATTGTAACCAAGTGAGAATCCCCAGGCTTAGCGAATGTGTGAGTGAGAAAGGAAAGATAAAAGCCACCAGAGCCTGTTGGGAGTGATTAACCCAACATTGCTGGAACAATTCGGTAGTACTAACCAAATGTATATCTCCCATGATTGAAGAGTTATGGTTCCAGGGTGCTTACGTAGGAATGCTCACAAATGACACCAAGTGAAATAAACAGGGATTGTTCTTAATTGCACAATTTTTCATGTATGTTTTTATTATTTTGAGAGAGAGAGAGAGAGGAAATGAGAGGGTGAGAGAGAAGCATCAATCAGTTGCCTCCTGCAAGTCCCCTACTGGGGATTGAGCCCGCACCCCGTGCATGTGCCCTCACTAGAAATCGAACCCGAGACCTTCTGGTGTTCAACCAACTGAGCCACACCAAAGAGAGTAAATTGCACATACTTTTGAAGGGACTGTGGAAAATTAGTGTATGAAATTGACATGCTGGATGGAGAAGAGGGGGAAGGTCCTTAAAATAGACTCAGGCCCTAACCGGTTTGGCTCAGTAGATAGAGCGTTGGCCTGCGGACTCAAGGGTCCCAGGTTCGATTCCAGTCAAGGGCATGTACCTTGGTTGCAGGCACATCCCCAGTAGGGAGTGTGCAGGAGGCAGCTGATCGATGTTTCTCTCTCATTGATGTTTCTGACTATCCCTCTTCCTTCCACTCTGTAAAAAATCAATAAAATATATATATATTTTAAAAATAGACTCAGGGCCGGCAGAATTCAGGACAACGTCCCACCCATCCCCTCTGCCCCTCAGTGCTGCCCTCTCCCCTGCCCATTGGTCATAAAGTTGAGGTCATCTGTGTTTGGGTTGTAGGAGGCGGTGACGTTCCAGGACGTGGCTGTGGTCTTCACGGAGGAGGAGCTGGGGCTGCTGGACCCGTCCCAGAGGAAGCTGTACCAAGACGTGATGCTGGAGAACTTCCGGAACCTGGTCTCAGTGGGTGAGGACAGGCGCCCTCTGTCACTGAATGTCAGCTCCCGGGAGTATTTTGATTTCAAGTGTTTAAGACTTTGGGACTCTTGAAATGTGTCCCAAACCTGGGATCTCAGTTTCCTAAGTCCTGTGAGATATCCTGTCTGTACTTTTCCTATTTTTTGCAAATTACAATATTGACATCTTGGTGGGGTTTAGAATCAGTTGTTTAGTTACATCTTTATCGTACTGAACAAAGTAGAATAGAGACAGCATAGCTCCTTGTCGGAACTGCATGCAGTGTAACCAGAACTGTGAGTCAATCAGGAAAGGATGACCATTTGATTGCCTGTTGTATTTTTTAAAATATGTTTTTATTGATTTCAGAGAGGAAGGGAGAGGGAGAGAGAGATAGAAACATCAATGATGAGAGAGAATCTTCGATTGGTGCCTCCTGCACGCCCTCCACTGGGGATTGAGCCCACAACCCGAGCAGGTGCCCTTGGTCGGAATCAAACCCGGGACCCTTCAGTCCGCAGGCCGACACTCCATCCACTGAGTCAAACCAGCTAGGGCTGCCTGTTGTATTTATTGCAACAAGTCAGGATCAGAATTTGGAGAAATACTATTTAGCATGCATAAGGATCGTAGTATTGCCTTTTTGGATAAGGATTAAGTTTTTGCCTTTAGTGTATCCCCTTGTATATAAGCCATTTATTTTTCATAGCATATCAACCCTTCAAATTGGACAGGAAATGACACGTGGGGAGAGAAGAGTAGCTTCCGATGATGGAGACAGAAACCCCAGGAGGCGGATGAGCAGGTGACAGCCAGGCAGCGGAGTCCTTCCTGGGCCCAGGCGCTCTCCTCTCCCCCGAAGGGTCGCCACCCTGGCCCAAGCCTCCGTCATTCATTACGCTGCTTACTTACAGCAGCTCTCTCACTGCCTCCTTGCCTCTGCTTTTGCCTTCTGTAGTCTGTTCTCCTACAGCGGCCAGATCGTAACTGGTCAGTCAGATCAGATAACTGGTTTGTTTACTCTTGCATGACTTCCATACAGTCTGAAATAATTCCAGTGGCCTGCAGGGCGCTGCCTGACCTGGCCGCCCTCATCCGCTCTAGCGGGATTTCCTTTCCTTAGCCTTCCAGCCACACAAGACCGCTTGCTGTGGCTCTGACATGCCAACTGCTCCACCTCATGGCCTTTCTCTTGCTCTTCCTTGTTCTCCCCGTACATCCTTCTGTCTCCTGCCTCACTCATCCATGTCTGCTCAGATGTCATCTCATCTCAGAAGCCTGTTCTGAGCACTCTGCTTAAAATCCCCAGCCCCCTACCCTGTCTTATTTTGTGACTGATCATTAATTACTTGCTGATATATTAAAGGATTATGTTTTGTTTACTTGTATATTGTCTTTCTTTCCCCATTTGAGTGTAACAGCAGGAGATCAGGGATTGTATCTTAACTCCCAGGATATGTTCATTAATTATTTGTTTGGTGAATGATTAAATGATGAATTAATGGATGAATGGGTAGGCGGTCCCATTTGAATGTGAGTGAAAAGGCTCCCTCACAGCTTCTCCTAACCTGTGTTCATTCTCTGCATTGCCATTGTGAGCAGTGCCCCGTCCATTTACCCGGTGACATCATCCCTGCCTACCTTCCCCCCTCCTCCCTTCCTTTCCTTCATTTCCCCCTCTTCTTCACTCCCTTCTTCATTCACTTATTTTACTTTGTGTATCCCTCAAGTAAGCCCAGCCTACAATATAGTAATTACAGTCATCCCTATTGGATATAAGCACAAAAATAAAAAGCTAAATCAGAGAAGCAAAAGAACCAGGAGAATCTAGCTGCTTATCTGGCAGACGAGGCCCTGCCTATGGTGAATAGTGGGGGAAAGTCTTCTCAGTCCTTTCATCATTTCTGTCTTGTGTCTTCATGCTGCTAGAAGTTTTCCCACAGTCAGGGAGGTTAGATGCTGCCTCCATTTGACTCACTCCCTTATTTTTCTGTACAGACCTGCCTTGGAATTACCATTCCAGTTACAACTGTTGTCTGGTTTTGCTTTATAACTGCTTTGCCTTTTAAAATAATAATTATTTTTTTAAAGGAAGGCTATATTTTATTATTGATTGACTAGAGGCCTGGTGCATGAAATCCGTGCACAGGTAAGGTCCCTAGGCCTGGCCGGTGATCAGGGCCGATCTGTGGGGTGATTGGCAGGGTGATTGGGGGGCCCCTGCTGACACCTGCCTTGGCCAGCCTGGCGCCGCCTGTTTGCCCACCTCGCCCCCTGCCACCACTGCTGGTCACCTCCCTCTGTGGGGCGACCGGCGGGGCACTCAAGGGCCCCATCTGGCACCCGCCTTGGCTGGCCTGGGGCCTGCGGGCTAGGGTCAGCTCCTGCATTGAGTGTCTGCCCCCTGGTGGTCAGTGTGCCTCATAGCGACCAGTCGTTCCGCCATTCGGTCGATTTGCATATTAGGCTTTTATTATATAGAATTAATTGATTTGAGAGAAAGGGTGAGAGAGAGAGACATTGATTTGTTGTTCCACTAAAATAGGCATTCATTGGTTGATTCTTGTATGTGCCCTGACCAGGGATTGAACTCACAACTGATCATTTTGGGCAATGCTCTATCCAACTAAGATACCTGGCCAGGGCTGCTTTGCCTTCTCAAACAAGTCTTTACTTTTTTTTTTAATATATTTTATTGATTTTTTACAGAGAGGAAGGGAGAGAGATAGAGAGTTAGAAACATCGATGAGAGAGAAACATCGATCAGCTGCCTCCTGCACACCCCCCACTGGGGATGTGCCTGCAACCCATATACATGCCCTTGACCGGAATCGAACCTGGGACCTTTCAGTCCGCAGGCCAATGCTCTATCCACTGAGCCAAACCGGTTTTGGCACAAGTCTTTACTTTTATTTTTTAATTTTGGGCCAACATTTTATTGAAATATATACAGAAAACTGCACAGATTATAAATGTACATGAATTTTCAGGGAGTGAAATGACTTCTTATTTGTGTAAGTTCTTTTTATTGAGGTAACATTTACATATGCACATCCTAAGCATGCAATTTCATTAGTTTTGACAAATAGATGCACCTCCGTAACTCCCACTCCTCAGAAAGTTGAACGAATCTTATAGTATATTCTGCGCACATCTCCCTTATTAAAAGTTCCTTTTGGCAACATCAGAATATCACAAGGTTTTACATTTTTTGGTGTCTATCTAGTTGCCCTGCTCCATCTATGAGGAATGTCCTAGAGGCCTAATTTCACTGCAATAATGCACAAACCAAAGGCTTTCTTCTCTCATAAGAATTCTTATAAACAAAAGCTCATTGAGAATGGTGCTAGGTGGATCTCACTGTCTTCACTCCTGCAGGCAGCTCACAAGGGGAGAAAAAAGCAGTGTGACTTAGGGATTAGTTAAGAACATTATGCTTCTGATGAACAATAACTTTTATGATACTTGTATTAGCTACTTATACCTGTATAACAAACTATTCTTAAACGTTTTTTATGTTGATTGATATTAATATTTCTACAAGACTTATTTATTTGTTAAAATATATTTTTATTGATTTCAGAGAGGACAGGAGAGGGAGAGAGAGATAGAAACATCACTGATGAGAGAGCATCATTGATCAGCTGCCTCCTGCACATCCGCTACCTGGGATTGAGCCCGCAACCCGGGCATGTGTCCTTGTCTGGAATTGAACCCAGGACCTTCCAGTCTACAGTCCAACGTTCTATTCACTGAACCAAACCAGCTAGAGGCATGTGTCCTTGTCTGGAATTGAACCCAGGAGCTTCCAGTCCACAGTCCAACGCTCTATTCACTGAGCCAAACCAGCTATGGCTATTCTTAAACTTAGCAGTTTATAACAATAAGCATTTATTTATACTTCTGTGAGTCAGGAATCTGGTGGCAGCTTATCTGGATGGTAAGGGTCAGAAACTCATAAACCTGTCAAGGAATCCAGCAGAGCTTCAAGCCTTTGAAGGTTAATGGGACTAAAGTTTCAGCTTCCAAGATGCACTCGTTCACCTGATTGTTGGGAGAAGGCCTTGCCAGTGGACCTCTCCGTTGAGCTCCTGAGTGTCTTCCAAACATGGCAGTTACACCAGCTGGTTACACCCAAGACAGTGGAAGGCAGAAGCCACAATGTCTTTTATGACCTAACCTTGGAAGTGATGTACTCTCACTTCTGCCATATTCTGTTGGCTTCACAGATCAATCCTGATACATTGTGAGAATGGATTTGATAGAATATGGACATCAGGAGGCAGAATCATTGGGGACCATCCTGTATGCTGGCTACCACAGCACCTTCTCATATGTACAAATACATATGTACGAAGCCTGGAAGAGAATATTAGCCATTCACATTGATCATAAAATTCAGCCAAATTAAGTGGCAACAATTATCTTGGGAATTTTACTCCCATAAAATATGGAAATGAGTTTTCTATTTTTTTCCAGTTGTTCACTAGTTGAATATTATATATCCTTTTTACTTTTGCTGAGAAAGTTCCCTGCTCTGTAGCTATCTATTTCTAATTTTGACTTCATAGGTAAATCTTTTTATAGTTCCAAATGAGTCTCCTTAACACTTAGTGGGTAGGAGCCTACTCATCACCTCTTTGTTTTCATAGGCATGAAAAAGCCAATGACAAAGTCCAAGCTGATCGAATATGGTCTCCCAGTGTGGTTGACTGGTGAAATATTTTTATTTCTGAGTAAATATTCATTTTTCCTCATTTTCATCTCTGAATTCTTATCCTTTCAGGATACCGGAATCAAAATGAGATAGAGACTCTTCAACAAGTTGGATTAAGGGACCTTTTTCAAGAAGACCTTGTGTGCTGGCCAATATGGGAACAAATCATGAGTAAGTTAACCAGAAATCAAGACTTGATGATAAATATACAAGGCAAGAGGTCTGATTTGCCAATCCAAGGCAATTCCTTCTGCCAGTTGTGGGCAACAGAATCTACTCAGGTTTCTGAAGATGAGAACTATGTAATAAAGGTTCAAGGGGAAGTTCAAAGTGCCAATAGTATTAAAAATCAAGATTTTCCAAGTAAGACCGCCTGGGATTTCTGGAGAGAGTCACAGAATTATCAGAGTAGGTGTCAGCAGTTTGATGGGAAATGTAAACTGTGTAAGTGTGATGGTTGTGATATTAAAAAGACCTCTCATGACCATGATGATGATCAGGAAGTACATAAAGGTGAGAGGTCATGTAGCCACAAGAATTGTGGGAAATGTTTCATGAAGACATCATTTCAGCATAATGGAGTTCATGCAGGAGAGCAAAATTCTCATGAGAATGGACAAGGCTTCAGTTTTGGCCCCAGTCTTGAACTTCATCAGCAGTTACACCTAGGAGCAAAATCTCATATGTTTAGTGAGTGTAGGGATGGCATCAGTTATAGCTCGCTCCTTTGCACTCATCAAAGTGTTCTCACAGAAGAGAAATTCAATAGGAATGGTGAGTGTGATGAAGACTTCTGTCAAAGCTTACATCTGCAAATTCATCAGAGAATCAACACAGGAGAGAAGCCCTACAAATGTGCTGTGTGTGGGAAAGGCTGCATGTGTAGCTCAGATCTTCATGGTCATCAGAGGTTCCACTCTGGAGAGAAACCCTACAAATGTGCTGTGTGTGGGAAAGGCTTCAGTCAGAGTTCACACCTTCAAGTTCATCACCGAGTCCACAGTAGAGAGAAACCCTACAAATGTGCTGTGTGTGAAAAGGGCTTCAGACTGAGTTCACAGCTTCATGCCCATCAGCAAATCCACACTGTAGAGAAGCCATACAAATGTGAGGCATGTGGTACGGGCTTTACTCATAGTTCACATCTTCAAGAACATCAACAAGTCCACACTGGAGACAAACCCTACAGGTGTTCTGTGTGTAGTAAGAGCTTTAGTCAGACCTCAAGTCTTCAAGCCCATCAGCGAATCCACACGGGAGAGAAACCCTACAAATGCACTGTGTGTGATAAGAGCTTTAGTCAGAAATCACATTTGCAAGTTCATCAGCGAGTCCACACTGGAGAGAAACCCTACAAATGTACTGTGTGTGGGAAAGGCTTCATGTGGAGCTCATATCTTCATGTTCACGAGAGGATCCACACAGAAGAGAAACCTTACAAATGTGGGGTGTGTGGAAAGAGCTTCAGTCAGAGTTCACACCTTCAAGCCCATCAGCGAATCCACACTGGAGAGAAATCCTACCAA